TCTATCACCATGTTGAAGAGTGTTCGTCTGGTCGGCACCGTTGTTCGTATCCTCAAAACATTCTGATCCATAGAAGACTGACGCGGAAACGACGAGGCACAACACAAGTTTCCCACTCATTATCAAGCTTTATACTCTCTGCGGTTCTATGTGGAAATCAGAGTGGTCAGCCGCATCTCCGAAGGTGTATCTTAAATACGAGAGCCAAGGAATGAGTGAGGGCTACCGAGTAGCGGATTAGAGCGACACCCTTGGCGCCGCGCCGATCGACGCTGAAGCTTTATTCGTACTCAGAACATGAACTCGTTAGGGATAGGCTGCGAGACTCATTCAGAGCTGAACTGTCAGTCATTCGTGCTAATGGAGTCTCTGAGCAGCTCGTTCGTTGGAATCATTGGTTCCGCTGCTCGTCGCAAGTTGAAGTTCCTCAGATGAAGATTCTCACAATCGACCGTCGCTAGAAAGTTCGGGCGTGGCCTCGAGCGAGTCCATCGAGCCGGTTGCAATTAGATGGAAAAAAAGTCTGAAAGCGATAGATTCCGCGGATTCATTTGCCGCAAGGTATCCGATGGAGGTGTTCGAGCGAGTACAGAACGAGCCGCTTAGTTTTCTTCTGGCGAGGGATTCATGAAGACGGCGATGAATAGTTTTCGCCAGGAAAATCGATGCCTGATGAAGGAATCGAAACTGTCGATTAGCCGAAGTCCGGATTGGTCTAAAAACCTTTCGCGGATTTTCATGGGTCATGAGTCATGAGTCATGAGGAAAGAGATCGCTCTATCGCAGCCGATTGCTGATAGCCCAAAGCCGTCGAAAATCTCGAGCGAAATCCTGAGAGCGAGAGTCGAGAAGAAGGCCTCGAGGATTTAATCCACATGAATCTTCTCCTCATCAGGATCTTGCACCATTCAAACCGCCAAATTTGTGATAGATCTGACGACTCTGTAGTCGAATTGCAGCACAACAGCGACACCGGTAATTAGAGTTGATAGAAACTTCCAGAAATTTTTATCGTTGTGGCTGAAGCAACCGACTCGCAAGGTGTCCCATTCCTCGCGGAACCGAAAGACACCCACAATATCTGCTCTGCAACACTCACCGGTGCGACACCGCAGGAAGCGTGTCAGTACCAGACGCTCGGTCTCGAGGCTCTGGCTCTCTACGAGAGAGCACCGATTCGCTAGTTGAAGGTATGTTAGGATGAAAGCGGCCAAGTTGGTCGAAATAAGGGAAAACGCTATCATGTCACTTTCAATGGCGAAAAGATTTCGGAAAAGCGACAGTACGACGAAGAAAGTCTGCACGTAGAGTCCGGCGACCGTTCTGCTGAAAAAAAAATTGCATTCCCGGACGGAGTCCCTGAGTTCCCATTTCCTCGCGACGTGCTCCTCGAGGGGAGAATTCGAATTCTCTGAATGAAGTTTCAACTTTTCGGAGTCTTTTGCTATGTTGTTGATGATATCGAGGTAAATTACTTTGAAAGCTGTCAGAGAAATCTTGAAGAACGCGAAGATGACCTGACTCAAGGCTCGCAGGACTGAATTCTGTGAAAGCACGAAGCGGCTACTCTCTACGATGTACGGAATCGCACTCATGGTAGGGAGTATCACGTCCCCGAAGCTCCGACCGTTTTTGTCGAGGAGGGCCTCTATTCTGCGGCCGTAACGGCTGAAAACATAGTGTACATCCATTGAGACGAGAGTCAACATAGCCGGAAGCAGGGATGCCGTGAATTCCGTCAGGCTGATTTGTTCCTTGATTCGGGAACGCCACTTGGTTGATACGTCCACTGGCACCGCGATCAGTGCTGCTCCAAGTGTAAGAATCTTGAAGGTCGTCACAGATACCTCCAGCCATCTCCGGGGGCCATGACCACATTTCAAGCCTTGGGAGTAGCACAGGAGTCGGAAGACCCTATCGGACAAAGTCTGGGGATCGGTACCTTCGGGGTCGATCGAGAATACTTTGGTCCGCCTCGGAAACATTCTGTTTCCCGGGGCTTCTCTCGTGGGCTGCGCTGTCACTCGTGACTATCGAAACTGAGAGCGATTGACCTAATAACTTGTGCCCGACCGTGGGGCAGCGTGCTCTTAAATGCTCACAGAGCTCGGAGCAAAACGTCGACTTTAAGTTCTCATTCGATCACGCTCGCGCGAGATAGATTCTCGACCTTTGTCAGATCGATCGACGGCGGCGCTCGAGCCGAGCCCGACATACAATGGGTTTAAAAAAAAATCGATTTATAAAGTGGATCGACGTCTTCTCGATTTGACCGCAAGGTGTGCCTCCGACCTCTTCATTGTGTGACGGTCGGAATCACCTGAAATCACTTGTGTGTACCCATGATGGGGGAATATTTGAGCCTTGCAAAATCATGAGACGATTTCCTCCCTTGTGGAAATCGAGATTTTCCGAGGTTTTCATCAACTGTTCTAGGATTTGAGACGGTGCCGATTCATCGAGCCTCAAGCAGGCAATGGAGCAAGGGGTATCTGGATCATGGGCCGCGCGGGAACTTGCTGTCTCGGAAGATTCATGGAGATTCCCATGACAGCCTAGGTAGCACCCTCCAGAAACTACTATATGTCCGCGCTCATACCAACTCATTCGCTCGTGATTGGACAAGTTTTGACCGACAAAGACGCAGCAGTGAGTCCGAATAGCAAGTATCGATCCTCAAACCGAATTCGTTCGTCTCTCCAAAGCACTACAACTGTCATCACTGATGACTCATCACTCATCAGTCATCAGGAAAGATTCGCGACCCCTGGATGTGACCCGAGCGCAGAAATGTGCCGTGGGTTCGCGTCCTCGACTGCATACAATAGAGAGATGGTGAACCCTCACGAGCTTGCTCGAAAGAAATCAACTGCCTGGAAGGTTCGTACAATTATTGGGCATCGCGATTTGCACCTCTCTTCATGGCGCACCGGAGTGCGGGATGCCGTGGAAACATCTCGGCGGACTCACATCGTTCTATGTGATCGTCATTCCCGAGCGCGCGCTGACTGGTGCACAAGCGCTCCACATTGTGGGAAAGAATCTCCTGAGAATATGAATTTTCCTGACGCTCAGGAGCAAATCTGGGAGCCCGAACGATTTGATTGAGCCCGTGTTCCTGATCCCAGGTCTGATACACCGATCCGGGCAAGACAGTGACAGATGATCAGTCATCAATCATCAAGTCAGGAGGATGCGGAGGGATCCAAGGAAGCGATTTCGTAGGCGAGAGTTTAAGTGCTTCCGTCTTTTCCCTAGCAATTCGGAATAGTGAGACCTCTGAGTGCCAAGGCAACAGAGCGCTCACTTATTTCACGCTAACGACGTTGTAATAAGTCGCGCAAAAGTTTAGAAAGTGGCTCTCATTTACGCTTGGACCGAGCTCCACGCCTAGCTCGGAGAGAAACAGCGGGCCGAGAACTCCGACTCGCTTCCGAGCTCTCCATTTCCGTTTCTTGCCGTCTCCTTCTGAGGGAGCTATCACGACAGAGGAAACTCCGTTCTATACACCATATTCCGAATTCGCTGCCGCGTCCCGGTGTGACGTAAGCAAGTATTTATGTAATATCGCCTCCGAATTCGTCATACTTGGTGAGAAGACGCTGACGATCTCCGCCGTAAGCGCGATCGTTTCCAGAAGCAATTCAACGGGACGGGGGAACCGGAAAACCGCGGAAGATTGCGATGCTCAGATGCTCCCGTCCGGCCCGAAATACCCACGTCGCGGCGAGGCATTGCTTCGCAAAACGATCTCGTATCTCGGAACGTTCTCCTTACTCTATACGTACGTCGCACACGATTTTCCGGATTCATATCGAGGTATTCGTACGTTTTCGAGGAGTCTCTCTCCATTCGAGAAAACCTAGTGCTCGGTATTGGGTCGTGTTTCCTGCCCGAACATCTCATGATGTAATCGGAGCCGTACATTCACCGTGTCTGCCATCACGTCAAAAGTTATTCACTTCGGACGTGGACGAATACATTGCAGCAGCGAGTGCATCCAAAAACTTGATCGTCCATCGAGCAGGACTCCCGAGAATTGTTATCGGACGCTTCCATCCGAACGACTATCGCTCGATGAGGAGCTCTAGATTCTGATCCAGAGCGCCCTGCCTGCATCATCCGCCTCGGTTACCGATAAATAGATCATGAATCTACCATATAACTGAATGAGGCTGCCTCTGATGAGATTCGAGAAGAAACAACTGACCGACTTCCCAAGTCAGCGTTTGCTATGAATCTACGATCGATCCCCGAGCTCCGGCATCTCCTGAACTCTCCGGAGAACGAGGCAGAGTCGGCGAAACTTCGTAGAATGAAGACGATTCCAAAGGCAACAAGACAAATTATTTTATGAAAATATCGCGACGCTACTAAAGGCCTACTCACATCAGAGGAACCGCGTCACGCACGACCGTTCGAACATTAGATACCCGAGTTCGAATCCTCGCCGGATGAAGTAGCGATATGGGATACCTTTAACCGAATGAGAATTTGGAATTTGCTTCGTTCGGGAATCCATAGACTCATTCCCTTCCTCAGTCCTGTGATCGGAATCGGCTCCTGTCTTCGTCGTCCTCCTAGAATTTTCCGGGTGGGTGCTTCGACCATGGGAATCATATTCTTGTACGTAGCGATTGTAATTAGTAATTACGACGAAAATTCCCAGCTGCAGGGGGACCGACCGCAGTGGGTTCACAATGGCAATGTTCTCCGTGAGTCAATTATCATTCTTTGCCAGTCAGTGATCTCCCCGAATAATTAGCGAGGTCGTCTCATCTACTCTCGTTCCCCATGAGCGACCTTCATAGCTTCACTCGCGCGAGAGTCGTGGCTCGCCTCTTCAGATAATTAGAAGATTGGATCGCGCTGGATGCTAGGCACAACATTATTTCAGCAGCAGGATAAAAAGTAGGGAGATCAAATTCGAGATGTGGGAGTTGTTCGCGTTTCCTACGGCATTGCTCGCTCAATTTTTCCGCATAGAATAATATATTCATTGATCACAGTTGCTTTGGCATGGACTCTATCACAAGGGCTTCCTAATATGTATGTACATCACAAACTTGTTCAGCAGCGTCTAAGATCGGGGAATGCATAGCAGCGTTTCGACTGAGTGGTCCTCGGAGAAAACTTTGTGTAAGGTCACCAAGAGAGCCAGCGCTAGACCTGGAAAGGAAGATTCAAATGAGCAGCCGCGCCTCGATCGAATCTTGCGATAAGACATGTGCATCAAAGGAGGCTCTCCTCTGTTCGAATAGAGCTTCCGGCTCACCAATGAGGACCAGAACGAGCCCGAAGAGAAAAACTGGAATGGGCCTTTTCACTTTGAATCGCTCCCTTTGCAGAGAGGCGCCGAGCAAACAACAACCTGGAAAACAAGATACTCATTCGCGAATGGCGTCCGAATGGCGCCCTTATTCGATGTTCGCGAGGGTTGTCCGCATATGGCAATCAGGTTTTAGATACACTTCTTGATACCTCCCCTATTCGCCTCCGTCATCTCGGTCCTGGTGGAAGCCCGGAGGACTTACCCGGAAAGACAAAGATGTTGGCACAGGCCAGAGCCCCGATGTATTCGATGATATCGGCAAGGTTCGATATCGTGGTCGCGGCCACGAGGGTCGAGAAGAACCAACAAATGTTCAAGAAAATCCTTCTGGAGTCCGTACTGGCCCATGGGGACATATCCTCCAGAATTTTCCCCCCACAAACGACCAAGAGAGGGTATGTCGCTATCATTTTCACGATCAAGGCAGCCATTCCTGGAACGTAGTAGGGGAGAAGTATTGGAGCGGAATTCCAAAATGACCTGTCGCATTCTCTCTCCGGTATGAGGGCTCGAGCACGGAATTCTCAAATGAAATTGTAGGACTCGAAAAAGGAAATCCAGCTACCGACCCAGAAGAACCCACGGCGAGTTCGCATCGAAATTCTGCATGATGTCGGGCCGGACGGCGGCCCCGAATGTCAGATAGCCGAGAACTCCGGTCGTACTGTAGACGGCGAACAGCGTCAGCATGCACAATGCGGTGGCCAATGACATGTTGCCGAGGCTCCGTCGTCCGAGATTCGCGTAAATCGGTATGACAACTTCATGCGTTTGGTACGCGAAACATACGGTTGGAATGACTTTGATGGCTGAGTCGAGTAAGTCCGTGAGGCTGTGGAAAGGAATCGATCCTAATTCAGAGCAGCGAGCAACGTAGAATAAAGCAGACTGGATAAAGACTCCCCAGAGTTGATCGCCATATTTGCCACTCACTCCTTGTTTTTCGGTACCACGGCTCGAACCATAGTCTCTCGGTCAACCAAGGTCGAAACTCCGCTGAATGCTAAGGCTGTTAGGAGAACCGGGTAGAACATAACGAAGACTCCGAGTGTACTGGAAACAAGCGCAACGCATCTCAGAACCACGGTAAAATGTCTGGCCTGGCAGCTCTAATACAATAAAGCGCGGGAGACCCGGGAACGGCCCGTTTCTCTTTAAGAAGAATCCAGAAGCCACAAGCCCATTATCCGAAGTACTACAGTCAATCAGCAGATTTCCCAAAGTCATAATTTCGTCCGTGTGCTTCTCCACGAGGAGGGAGCAGACACTGTGATTTTCAGACAGTGTAGATTACTATCAATAATGATTCGAAGGATCGATATCCTGAGCTGCGAACAAACGGTATTTTACCTTGCGTATTTGAGGAAATCCAGTTTCTTGAAGAAACACAGAGGTAATATGCATAGTACAGATGTCGCCATTATCGTGAACTCCCGACGGAGATGGAACGAATCACAGAAACGACTCCCGTGGAGCGAGAGGAATACTGAAAATTGAGCCCCATCTCATAAATTCTGCTTCGACAGGAGCGAAAACCGAAAGCGAAATGACAACAGCGCGGAATGCGATTGAGTCAACGTGAATTCATGGCAAGAGCCCTGCTCGCTGAGATCTCTGGGCGGAAAGGTTGTGATGAATGTCGACGACCACAGGCGTTGCATCCCCAGAGCGTAGAGGCAGTCAGAGCTCAGACTTACATCTGTCGTATTGATCACCGATGATGACCATAAACGTGACCGAAACGCCATAGCACGCGAGCAGCACCGATAGAGCAGCCGCCTTCTGTGCCATGACACCGCATGTGGTTCGCAACACATCGTGGTATGTATTGTCGCCTTCGAGATCAGCCGCGGACGCAAGAACGATCATTGTTGAAGACAGCAGCAGGAGCATAACCTAGAGGATCGATTCGATGTTGAGTCTTCCATATGAGTTTCGCCGAATCCTAATTCAAGGATAATAAATAAATCCTAACCAAAATTCATCCGCGCTCAGCTTTCAATCACGAGGGCGCGAGGGAGAGTTTTGTTCTCTGCTTGATATAATTCATAGTAAAACGAAAAGAAGTCATCCCAGCGCTTTCGAATGATCCCACTGAAGCAATAGGGTCCCATCAATGAATTGCGGTCTCCTTCCTGAAAGGACCCGGACGCAGATACGTTTGTTCCAGTCTCTGATAATTGATTCAACGGTGACTCATCTGGCTCCGAGAAGGAATCCTCCCGAGTAGTAGAATATGTTAACCCCCATACAACGTAGCGCACGGTATGGTCAGTACCTATGGATGAATGCTCACAATCTGCACTGCAGTGGCGACCACGATTCCTCCTGCTTCCGCGTAGCAGAACGGGTAATGCAATATACCGGCGCCAAGAGCTGCGTTGATTAGGAGAAAAGCTGCCGCATACCACGATATCCCTGGGGAGAAATTTGCTTGAGTAAAGAATCAGCAACCTTGGGCCCTTGTCAAGGTTGCGCCGATGGAAGTGCCGAACTCTAGAGAGAGAACTCTGACAACGAGATCCATCCGCTTCCTTGCTTTTTGCGTCTCTGAATCCCAGTGGTCTGGTTTTCTCTCTTTCTTCTTCGACTCCTCCAACCATCTCTCCCTGTGGGGTCTTCAGGGAAACTCGGACGAAAAGACTTTTGGTTGCGCATGTGTCGAATCAACAAAGAGCTCGAACTAGTGGATTTTCTTGCGCGGAACTCGACGAGTACGTTCAGTTGAGCGGGAGATCTCAGGACCTCCCGTGCTCTGTTCATCGTCTCGGTTCATCAGAAAGACTGAACCCCCTGGTCCCAGACCTCTAATCTAGACGGCGGAACCATAATCTCCGCAAACCATGAATAATCACCCCTTACCTTGCGTAATGTGAACGCTGGCCAAGGACCGCGCTTCTTCGATCGTGTGCCGTCGGAATTCCCCGCCAGGATAGACCAGCAGACCGTTCTCCATCGCGGGAGTAGAGAGTTTATCCATGCTCTGCAATAACACGGGACTTGAGGAAAAGATTGCGAGGGAAAACTAAAAATCGAAGAATCGGTCCGCTTCGATATCCTCGAGCAAAGCTCTAAAGCGTTCAATCAAAGCGTCGAGACGTTTCCCGCGGAGCTCCGTATGTCAGTCTGGATTTCTCAGAGTACTCTGAACTCTGCGATATCGCGCGAGTCAAGAGTCGAGCAGAGTCCCCGGCCTGCTTCGATGAATCAAAACCTGAGAAGCTGAAGGCAAGAAAGCTATCCGGCGTTTGACGGTGTCAGGCGAGCCAGCTGGCCGTCCTCATAAATACATTTCTTAACTTATTGTGCAATCTCCGAATGGAGGATATCCATTTCGGAAGAATCGCGACAATGTCATCGTCAACAAGAGCAACGACGAAGACAACAGAAGCGACAGCGGTAGGAGCTCCATTCTTTCGCTGTTGACAAATGTAAACATTTGGCGTCGTGCTGCGTGCCAACATTCGGCTCTGGCAGATGGGCAGCTTTTAGGGACGAGTCACGCTGGAAACGAGCTCTGCGGGCGGGCATTCAGACGCATACATCGGACGAGCGGAAAAAAATGGAGGCCCCACATTCGTGAGAGCAACTCATTCCGAGTTTCCGGCTCCTCCCGAATGTTCCCAAGGCGCCTCGGGCTCAGAAATACTAAATGTGCTCATGAACGCCTGTAGGCAACAAACAGTCCCCGGGTGGGTCGAGCCCGCCCAGGAATATCACGAAGATACCTAGTTACCCATTCCCCTCTCTTTTTGAATCTTTTTTTTCTTCTAATTATCCGTCGTCCGACGTACTTGGCGACAAAGTATGTCTGGAATATTACATTTTTAATTAGGGCCCTGTTCCGTCCTCTGACCTGACAACAATGTTTCTCGTCGCGCTTCGCGATGGGGAATCCGATAAGTTACCGCAGTCTTCTATCAGCGAATTTCCATGTCAATGCCTCGACAACGATCCAGAATGATTGTTGTCCCCGGCCCCACCCGCTTCCTTCTTCGCTTTCGCGGCAGTGCCCGTTGTGGACCTGGCGGAAGACGGAGGTACGTGCGTCGGAACGGCGAGTGACGATCATGGCTCAGAGCCTAATCTTCGATCAGAAAGTGTGGGGAGGAGCAGCGCGACGAGAAGAGAGGAATCAGATTTGCATATGAAAGTCAGGCCCGTCGGGATCGTCGCCGAATGAACAGACCGAACGCATCAAGCTTCGATGTTCAAACTCTTGGTTGCATACCAAACGTGCTCCAAAACGATGTTCCGCGACGAGCAAAACTCGAAATCTCGCTCACCGAAATTTTCCGGGCTCCCTACCACCGCAACGGAAACCTGAACTTCATGAATATTTGCCGCCACTAAGATGGCGATTACTCCGCTCATTATTCCCCGGTGTCGAATTATCGTTACCGTAAAGTTCTCTTGGAAATTCCCCGCTTACGTTCTAGTACGGATCTTCTGCAGAATCCGACTCCGGTCGGTCGTCCCAGACACGCCTGCACTGCTGGACAATAGTTCCAGCAACTCCACGTTTCCGAAAATTCGCTCCCCATCGTCGACTCTGGTCGTGTCCGTCGTGTGGCGTCCTACTAAATCGATCCGTATATTCCTAGGCTGATCCACCTAATCGCCATCTCCTCGATTGCTTCCACTCAGGCGGGAGGAACTCTTCCGATAGGGTCTTCGAACCCGACATTCCCAAAGGGTCTACCGTATTCACACTCACACATGGACAGCAGAACCATTTCCAGACATTGACGTCAGTTCCCTGAGGCCTCACACGAGGGCTCTGGTGACGCAACGTCGCGGAATGCGCTGATTCCCGATAGAAAAAATTCTAGGATCGGATTTCCGCATCTTTTATGTATCGAGAGAAAAATACCTTGTGCAGAAGCGAACCGATGCATTCTCGTCATGCCGAGGGAGCCGATCGGATTATTGCTCGCGACATTTTCCGGGAGCGACTCGGAATACCTCAGTAGAATCGTCGAGATGTCGCTCAAACATTCCACAAACCAGGTCGAGAAATTCATAGAGAGAATTTCCGGGCTCATCGACGTGACTTGGAATTAGCGATGATGCTCCTCCCTGCGAGACGTCGAGCCCAGTTGTCGTTCGTGTGCCGAGCCGCTGGGGAACATCTCGCAGCTCGAGCGTTTCCATGAGGCTATGGCCGCGGTTTCCTCTTGGTTTTGGCGATAGTTTCCAAGCGTGATTCAATGACGCGTAAGGCACACATTGTTTTCCATGCATGAATGGCGAAGTCGCATGAGACCCTCGCGAATTATTCAAAGGGTCTCGCGGTCGGAGCCTCCGGACAATAGGGCGTCGCGTGGCAACACAGATTGAAATCCAATCCAACCCGACTCGGTTTCTCAGAACTCGCCCGAAAGCACCCTCTGTACGTTCATTGCATCGCGATTCACCCTGGAGACTCGCAAATAGGGGATCCCTGTTCTGTTAAATATGTGGACCAGGTGATAGAGATTCGGATCATTCCGCAGAAGCTATTTAGAGAAAGCCTCCGTTCTCGAGTTCTGTGCATCGATTCGGGATTCCCACAACAGGGAACCTCAACTGCGTGATATTTCGATGGATAGGGAGGTCGGTCCGACAAAGGAAATTCCCCTCAGGATTGGTTGACTCTCGATTCAAGCTTCGCTCATGGATGTTTCGATTGCTCCGATCAATATCTGATTTCATTCACTTCCGATCCCCCATCAACATGCCTCAGGGACTCCAGACTCGAGCACGCTGCTAGAAATATGCAGCTGCCGCAGCGACAGCGAAATCGGCCTGCAACAGATGCTGAGCCATCGCGCTGGAAAGTCTTCTAGACTCCAATGATACATACTCGGAACGAGCATTTCAGATAGAGGACGGAGACGAAAAGTGACGATATTTCTCTTCAGCAATACGAAAACAGAGTCTGTCACCAAAATGTTGAGCTGAGTTTCCGCTGAACAATCGCTTCTCCCGCCGCGAACCGGCCTTCGCCGACAGGCAAGCTCATGCAGACGATGCACGAGACAAAAATCGATGAGACCGCGGATAACAGTGGCACGGCATCTCTCCTCTGACGTTTTCGGAACTTTTTGTCTTGATAATATTGTCGCTAGCGTCGTCCGACTCCGATATCCCGTGAATTTGTGTCACACGATACATGTGTCAGGATGAATGGAGATATCTGACCGAAAGAAGAATAGAACAATGTTGTACGAGTGATATCACGCGGGATACTGCTCCACAGTGATCGTCGGGTCGTCGACAATGTTAGCGCGTCTTCTTCGCTGCGCTGGTGGAAAACGTACATACACAGCGAGGCGAAATACAGTGGAACCTGTCTACTGGGTCCACCTCCCGTCCGAGCGGAACGCGGACCGATGCCTCAGGTGGACCCTATACGCGTTCGAATTAACACAGTCTGAGAGAATCGGTGCCTGACAATAGTGGACCCATAGCTCAGGTGGACCCATCACGCGAGTGGGCCCTAAGTCAGGTTACACCGTTGTGTTTCTGAGCTCAGGAACGATCACGCCTCATAGTTCGACCGCGGACTTTTTCAGAAGAACAAGCGATATTTTCCACCCGCCCGTTTCTTCTTGGATTACTCCGCGAAAAGCACCGGGAAATCGTGGACTATCGTGAGGAGATTCTCCGGAAGAGCTCTCTGGCTACGACTACTCGCCTGGTGTCGGTGGAGGCCTGCCGATCAGCTGATCAATGTCACTCGCTCCGTCAGATGGAACCGCACCGATTGATAAGGTTAATTGACGATCGACGACAGTGTCTACGGAATCTCCGGGTGCGTGACGGGTCTACGACTCGAGTCGAAAACTCAGAGTTTGAACACAGTCGAGATTCGAGCCGGTGTGAGATAGTGAGTATGTGACGTTGTTCGAATCAGAAGAGGCTTCGAAGCTCGCCAACCTCTACCGCAGCAGCGGCGGCTGTGGTAGCGGCGGCGGCGGCCCCAGCAGCTGCAAGGCCGTAGCGAACACAGAACGAAAGAGCTACTGCTCGCAGAGCCTCTCCTCGAGTTCCCTGGCGGTCAAGGTCGTTGCTGGGAAGCGGGAAAAAAGAATTTGTCGCGGTTCAGTCTGGACACCGACTCGTGAAAAATTTCAATCCCACGGAATCTCGGACGTTGTCAGCTGTGAGAGGTCAACAGACTGCGCTGTCAGCGGGTATATGAACCCGTCAGAGCTCGGCCGGGTATAGTTTTTGGGAGCTCAGCGAGGTCGGGCTACTCTGCCATATCTCTCGTGTCCATTTTCGCATTTCGTTCTGGCCACGGTGCGGTATCGGGAGCGATTAACTCTGAAGCGAACCGTGAAGCCGAGACCTCGAGGGAACTATCGGTGGGTGGCGTGTTTCCTAAAGCTCAATTCCCCGGAAAATCGCGAGCTTCCGCTGCGATACATCGATGACTGAAGCGCCGCGAATGTCCCATTCGGAACGTCTCCATGTCTCGAGCGAGGACGACTCGTGGCCTCGATCTACGTGGAACGAGGCTCGGAGCCGTCGTATCAAATGATAATTAGCTCCCCGCGTATACAGCGGTCGGCATCGTAACAAACAGCGGATTTACGGGAGCGTGAAACGAAACAATCTGCGGCGAGCGCAAGAGGGCGTCTACCCCGTCGGGGAAATCGGCGTCCGAGTCCCTTGCCTTGATCTCCGCGCTCCGGGAGAAAGGCGTCGCAACTCGCAACGTCTCTTATTCGTTTCTCGACTGCGGGAATTTCCAGGAACGTTCAAGGAGCACCACCAGGGGATTAATGAGAATCTAATATTCCACCGAAGAATAGGAGCGATCACGGAGTCACTCCCACAAAGGATTGCTTCAGCAATAGCCAATGGGTCTCGGGAAGCAGTTGTTCCGAATGACTCTGACGAGTAGTTTCGGCGGCTGTACGTAAATATTTGATCCAAGACAATCAAACGGCGCTCGCATCAGCGATCACCGAGGTCATC